AACCTCCTGGAATCGAGCTGAATGGAAGTCCTACCACTACAAAATTAAAGAAGCAGCTACACCGAGACTGGTAGGAGGGGCGGAGGCGCGGGACAGGCTGGTCCCACGTATGGCGGATAAAAATCAGGAGGATACCTCAGTTGGGAAGGTTCTCCCTGAGAAGTGAGGGGCCCCCGTCCCACATCAGGTGCCCAGCTCAATGTCCCAGTGCCAGGAAAAAAAGTCCCCATAAATTCTGTCTGGAGTCCTGGCCGGTTTGGCTCAGCGGTTAGAGCGTCGGCCTGCGGTCCCGAGAGACCCGGGTTCGGTTCCCACTAAGGGCACGTACCTCGGTTGTAGTTTGTCCCCGGCCCTGGTTGGTCATGCGGGTGGCAACTACTCAATGTGTCCCTTCACATCGATGTTTCTCTCTCTCTCTCTCTCCTTCTCCCTCGCTCCCTCCCACTCTATCTGAACAAAATATCCAAAAATGTCCTCGGGTGTGGATTAAAAAAAAAAAATTCTGTCTGGAAAAACCAGTGGGAACTGAGGCAGAGGGAGGCTTCGGCTGCGGAAGCCCCAGCAGCTCTTCATAAAGGGCCCACGCGCAGACTTACTCAGACCCACTCCCTCTGAGCTCCGAGGGGAGGCACCTTGAGGGGCACCAGAGAACAGGGAAAAACTGAGTTGTTTGGCCTTTGGACGAGGGCTAGAGGGGCAGCTTTCTCCTGGATGGACGTGCTGGTGGAAGCCATTGTTCCTTTGGTGAGCCTTTCTCCCGTAGGGCAGACTGCCACCATATCTGGGACTCCAGCGACCTGGCTCACACTGTTGGCCCCACCCTGGTGATTCCCTGAGGCCCCACCCCACCCAACTTTCAGGCCCACCCAAGCTGTTTCCAGTGGCTTTGCTTTAGGATTAGCCTGTCTTGGATCCTGCTTCAGAGTTTTCCCAAAATCAAACAAGCAGCATCTGGTACCTGAGCCCATCCGTGCACCTGGCACCATCAGACCAGTGGACACCCTGTGTCAACACAGACCAGTGCACAGTAGCGGAGCTGTCAAGATGCCAGTTGCCGAAACCACAAATGGTTGGGAGCCCAGCACCTTCTCCCACAGTAGCAACCCAATCAGAGTCGAGGTATACCCCCAGCAACAGAGGCTGGGGAGCAGACATCCACCCCCAGGCAACAGAAGCACAGACCAGCAGCAGAGAACCATCCCCAAAAACTACAGCAAAGGCTGAGCAGGAGCTGAGCGCCACTGGGCAGCAGCACTCCTTAGCCACCAATGGTGAGACCTGGGGCTCCATAGGGGCCTTTGCAACACAGCGGCCCACAAGAGCGTTGGGAAGCTGGGGATCCAGAGGGGCCTGTTCAACCCAGTGGCCCACAAGAGAGGTGGGAAGCTAGGGATTCAGAGGGACCTGTGTGACCCAACAGCCCACAAGAGTGGTGTGGAGCTGGGGCTCAGGATGAACCTGTGCGACCCAATAGCCCACAAAGAGCAGTGCAGAGCTGGTCTCAAGAGGGGCCAATCTCAGTGAGCCCCATACCTCTCATTAAGTGGCCCCAGGCCTGGCACTAGAAGCAGCCAGCCTTGGTTCACAACTTGGCTTTTCCTGGACACCTCTCCAAGCCCAGCACAAGAAGCAGCCATCTGCAGTTCATTCCGTAGCTTATGCTGGGTGGCCCTGGATAGAGTACAGGCAGTGGCTGACTTGCCCCAGAGGCAGCATACCTGGTGGACAGTTTCAGACCACACAGAAACACTACCACCCAACCACCTCCACAAGTGACACACTCAATGAGTGGACTCATTGGGTACCAGAGCCCTGCTGAAGTAAGTCTTGCTCTGTGTGGTGGGCCCCTACACAGCTGATCCTCCAAGGTAGTGGTCAGTGGGCACAGCCAGTCCTTGCAGCTGATCAGCCTGAGTAAATCCCTCCCATTGATGTGCCAACAGCAATCAAGACTCAATTACAACAGAAGGGTGTACAGTTCACACTAGGGATGCATCACGAGGGCCCAGCTGGGGTGATCAGGGAGACTGTGCCACTGCATTCTACAGGACACCTACAAAGTATCCCTACAAAGACTGGAAGACATAGAAACTCTGCCTAATACATAGAAACAATCACAGGGAAGCAGCCAAAATGAGGAGACAAAGAAACATGTCCCAAATGAAAGAAAAGAACAAAACTCGAGGAAAAGAACTAAACAAAATGGAGATAAGCAATCTAACAGATGCAGAGTTCAAAATACAGGTAATAAAGTTGTTCAGGAAACTTGGTGAGACATCCAAGGGACTTAGTGAGACCTTCAAGGAACTTAGTGTGACTTTCAGGGAACTTAAAGAGACCTCCGAGGAACTTAGTGAGAACATCAACAACATAAAAAAGGGCCAGGGCCAGTTAGAAATTAAGGATGCATGCCCATGCCGGTTTGGCTCAGCGGTTAGAGCGTTGGCCTGCGGTCTGGAGAGACCCGGGTTCGGTTCCCGCTAAGGGCACGTACCTCGGTTGCAGTTTGTCCCCGGCCCTGGTTGGGTCGTGTGGGTGGCGACCACTCGATGTGTCCCTTTCGCATCGATGTTTCTCTCTCTCTCTCTCCCTCCCACTCTATCTGAACAAAATATTGAAAAATGTCCTCGGATGAGGATAAAAAAAAAAAAAAAAAGAAATTATGGATGCATTAACTGAAATAAAGAATAATTTACAGGGAATCAATAGTAGAGTAGGTAAAGCCAAGAAGCAAACCATCGATTTGGAATATAAGGAAGCAAAAAACACCCAACCAGAACACCAAAAAGAAAAAAGAATTTAAAAAAATGAGGATAGTGTAAGGAGCCTCTGGGACAACATCAAACATGCCAACATTCACATCATAGGGGTTCCTGAAGGGAGAGAGAGCAAGAAATTGAAAAACTATTTGAAACAATAATGGCAGAAAACTTCCCTAACTTGGTGAAGGAAACAGACATACAAGTCCAGGAAGCAGAGAGTCCCAAACAAGATGAACCCCAAGAGGCTCACACCAAGACACATCATCATCAAAATGCCAAAGGTTAAATACAAAGAGAGAATCTTAAAAGCAGCAAGAGAAAAGCAGTCCGTTACCTACAAAGGAGCTACCATATGACTGTCAGCTGATTTCTTCTTTTTTTTTTTTAATCTTCATCTGAGGACATTTTTCCATCTTTTGTTCAGATAGAATGGGAGGGAGAGAGGGGAAGAGAGAGAGAGAAACATTGAAGTGAAAAGGACACATTGAGTGGCCACCACCCACACAACCCAACCAGGGCCAGGGACAAACTGCAACCAAGGTAGGCGCCCTTAGCGGGAACCAAACCCGGGTCTCTCTGGACCGCAGGCTGATGCTCTAACTGCTGAGCCAAACTGGCCAGGGCTTTCAGCTGATTTCTTAAAAGAAAGTTTGCAGGCCAGAAAGGAGTGACAAGAGATATTTAAGGTGATGCAAAGTAATGACCTACAACCAAGATTATCCTGCAAAGCTATCATTTAGAATCGATAGACCTATCAAGAGTTTCCCAGACAAGAAAAAGCTAAAGGAATTCATCACCACCAAACCAGTATTATATGAAATGTTGAAGGGTCTTCTTGAAGGTGAAGAAGAACAAAAATATGAACAATAAAATGGCAATTAATACATATCTATCAACGATGGAATCTACAAACAAAATAAGCAAGCAGAACAGAAACAGACTCATAGATAACAGAGAACTTGTTGCTTGCCAGAGGGGTGGGGGCTGGGAGGATGGGTGAAGATGAAGGAATTAAGAAGTACAAATTGGTTGTTAGACTTATGAACCTCAAAGGGAAGGGGGGAGGGAGGGCGGGATGAGATAAACCAAAGAACTTCTATGCATATATGCATAACCAATGGATACCGACAATAGTGTGGGGAAGGCAGGAGAGGGTGGAAAGGCAGGAGGGAGTGAGAATGGGGAGGAGGGGGTCAATGGGGAAAAAAGGGAGAAACATCTGTAATACATTCAACAATAAAGATGAGTTTAAAAATAAATAAATAAATAAATAAATAAATAAATTTATTATCTTCATCAAATATTACTGAAGAAATAAGATTGGGAGCTCTAGGGAATCTCGGCTCCTGGGGGTCTTGGCAGATGTTGCCAGTTGGTTTGTAGTATGTGTGGTGGGAGGCGGCAAGGCTTCTCCTATGGCTTCCAAATGCTGCCACTCAGTGAAGAGGTCAACCCACCCCCAACAACAACCCTCCCTCTCCCCACACCACCTGGATGGAGATGGCACCTGGGCCTTCTCTGACTGAGGTAGGGAGCATCCCTGTTCAGTAGCTAGTCCCAGAGCTACAAAGACATAGAGGACTGGGCTTTTAATGCTTATAAGAAAACAAGGGCACATTCTCTCAGAAGAATTGCAAGAGAAGGCAGAGGAAGCAGTAGATCCGAACCCTCATCTACCATCACCAAAGAGTCAGGAATTTTCAGCATAGAGTCAGGTTTGTTTGTTTTTACATTGATTTTAAAGAGAGAGAGAGACATTTGTTGTCCCACTTATTTATGCATTCATTCATTGGTTGATTCTTGTATGTGCCCTGACCAGGGATCAAACTGGCAACCTTGGCATACTGGAACAACACTTTAACCAACTGAGCAACCTGGCCAGGGCACAGATTTATGTTTTAAAGAGACATTAACTGAAGTGGTGAAAACAAACCAAGTCTTGATCCCTGAATGATTTGACTTCCTCATCTAAATGGGTAGCCTCTTAGGAAGCAAGGTGGAGAGAGCTCAAATGCTTAAATCTAGGTATGCAAGTTTATCCCAGTTTTAAGAAAGATTTTTCATTGATAGCATGTGAGTAGCAACACCTTAACTCAACCTGCTTAGAAAGAACTGTGGTGTGAAGCAACTTAACACCATGCTCTGCTTAGCGTTTGTAGATGGACTAAATGAGACTTGCACCTAAAGGTTTTCAAACATAAGCTTACCATGAATTATTAGACAAATGAGGCTGGTTACCTGAAGGACTGATTGCTGGCTGGGGTCTTGTGGATACGAGGGAGAGGTGAAGGCTTGAAGACACCCGTCAGTTTTAGGAATGTATTTCGGTATAGAAGATATTCCTTAGTCTCATCTTTTCCCTTTGCACTTGGTTTTGTAGAAAATTCTGCTGGTGAGACTTTTTGTTTCCCAACCAGTTTTTGTGGAAACCTGGGCACTTTGCACACTTGCAATGATTCCATTCCTGAAACAGAATATACTTCACTGAAAATCCTTAGTGGGTCAAGGTCTTTGTAGGCTGGGGTAATGTGGCTGCAATTATTTGGATACTCCTTTACCCATTAATGGCAGTGCCTTTCTGTTGGTTCCTCTAAGTGCACTTTGTGGTTGCTCAGAGGATACATAGTGTCTATGTACTAAACAAGGAAAATGTCTAGGCTATCAACAAATCTAATCTATAAGTGTTTGATTATCTATGCTTATCTTGTGCCAGGTAGTGTGCCAAGCACTTTGACACATTATCCCATTGAATTAAGAACTCTAATGAAGTGAGTAGTCTTATTTTCATATCGCTGGTAAGTCCAGGTTCACCCAGCTCGAAAGGGGCAGAACCAGGATTTGAACAGATCTATTTGATTTCAAAGATTGCACTTTTACCCCATGCTATAGACCAGTGCTTCCCAACCTCTTTTCATAAAGTAGAAAAATGTAAACTGTAAAGCCCAATACATATTGAATCTTATAAAAATATGATATAAAAAAGAAATCGTGATCATCTGTATGGCACTTGGTGGTAAATTTAGTGGGCTGCATGTAGGTAGAATCAACTTCCCCAGGGGCTCTATCATCTCAGCCCAGCTGCTCCTGAGAACTGAGGACTTCTGTTTTTCAGTTCCTGTGTAAAACATTTGTGACACATCCTTTGTGAAGTTGTACATCACAGTAAGTACCAAACGACTTCCTCGAATAGAGAAGCTTGCCTTTTGGATTTAGCATACAATTAATGCTAGTTCCTTGCGGATTCTGTATTTGTGAATTTGCTTACTTGCTAAAATCTATTTGTAACCCAGATCAATATCTGTGGCCCTTTCATGGCCATTTGCAAATGCGTCAAGTGGTGAAAATTTTAATTATGTTGTGCTTGTTCCTAGTTGAGGTGACGCCCTGCCTTCTTTTTCTGCTCTTGTACTATAAACAAGTGCTTTACATGGTCTTTTCAGTGCCATGTTTTACACAGTTTTGCACATTTTGTTGGTGATTTTGCCATTTAAAATAGCCTGCAAGCTTGGTCCTGAAGGGCTGTCTAGTGTTCCAAAGGACAGGAAAGTCTGATGTGCCTTATGGAGAAAATAGGTGTTAAATAAACTTAGTTCAGGCATGAGTTACAGTGCTATTGGCCATGGGCTTGATATTACTGTATCAACAATATATGTTAAACATGGTGTCTTTAGACAGAAACACACATAAGATAAGGTTATGATTGATTGGTTAATGAAAATATTGTGACCAGAGGCTGGAAGGAACCTCACCCTATATTTTCCCTAGGAACAATGGTTCAATATGCAATATTTGCCGAGATGCTATAGAATCTAACCACCATGGATAAGAGAATCAACTGTTTTATATCACCAGTCAGGAACTGAAACTGTGATTGATTATGTAATAAAAAGCCAGCTCTGAATTAACATCACATTACGATAGCACATTGTAATGTGAGGACTCACGCCTCCTCTCAACACAGCATATGGACGAAAGACATTAACAAGGACCGAGGTTTGGGTGATGAGACTGAGTGGTGGTAATTAAGAGGTAAGAGTATTTTCTGATATAAAAAATGAATATGAAAGCACCTCCTCTTAATAAAAACACAGCAGTGGCCAAAGAGAAGAACTCTCCAAAAAGAAAAAGGAAATAAAATTAAGGTTGGCTCCTTTGATTTTCTTGCTATGGCCAATCACCTGGATCCATGGTAAGAATCTATATGTAGAGCACTTTATAGTTTACAAACTCACCACCTCAGGAACCTTGAAAGGAAGAAGCAGTTTAAATGTTGGTCCTCTGGAAGTCTGAATAATGGGAATGGGTTATGTGCAGCAACATAATGGGTTCCATAACTGACCCAGTGAGAATTTGTAGTGATCCAACCAGCTAAATAGGATGTGCTTGGCCTTTTCCTGCAGTCTTTTTAATTTAATGATTGTCCCAATGTCAGACATAGGGCTTATGTCTGTTACAGATGTATCCACTAGACCTGATAAACTTGAAGGCTTTAAAAGAGAGAGAGAGAGAGAGATTACTATAAAGTTCATTCATTCATTCATTCATTCATTCATTCATTCATTCAGGTTATTGGGTATTATTTATGGGCTGGGCACTGTACCAGAGACTAGGACTAAAGATATAGTATATAAAAGTCATGTTCCCTTGTAGACTGACAAATCTCAGAGGGAAGGGAGGGTAGAGAGTAACCCAAAAACATATATGCATAACCAATGGACACAAACAATAAGGCCTAGGTGGGGGGCAGGAGAAGGGTAGAGGGGGTCAGTGGGGGAAAAGGGGGGACATCTGTAATACTCTCAACAATAAAGATAATTTTTTTAAAAGTCATGTTCCCTTGTGAATGTCACTTAATGTCACTAAATTATACATTTAAAAATTGCCCTGGCCAGTTTGGCTCAGCGGTTAGAGCATTGGCTTGCGGTCCGGAGAGACCCAGGTTCAGTTCCCGCTAAGGGCATGTACCTCTGTTGCAGTTTGTCCCTGGCCCTGGTTGGGTTGTGTGGGTGGCAACCACTCAATGTGTCCCTTTCGCGTTGATGTTTCTCTCTCTCTCTCTCTCTCTCTCTCTCTCTCTCTCTCTCTCCCTCCCTCCCTCCCACTCTATCTGAACAAAATATCAAAAAATGTCCTTGGGTGAGGATATAAATAAATAAATAAATAAAAATAGTTAAAATTGTAATTTTTATGTTATGCATACTTTACAACAAAAAAATGTTGGAAGAAAAACTATGATCCCTGTGTTCAAGGTGTTCAGAGTCAATGGAAGAACTAAATAAGTAAACATTATGATACACCACAAGGGCTATGTTATTTATAAGCACAGAGTGTGACAAGAGCATAAAAAGAAAACAATGTTTGTAATAATGAGCTTCTATTTAGCAGAAGAAAGTTTCAAAGCAGTACATCATGAGGATATTAGACTTTAAAATGTTGTTTTAGTGAGCAATATGTGTAATCTTCTCATAATAAATTGGGTATATAAAGAAGTTAGCTTTGGATGAGCTTATATGACTAGGAAAAGTGTTGATAACTCAGTTTTATGTATATTCATTACGACTCAGAGAACAGACTGACAGCTGTCAGAAGGGAGGGGAGTTGTGGGGCTGGGTGAAAATGGTGAAGGGATTAAACAAACAAACAAAAAACAACTCATAGACACAGACAACAGTATAGTGATTACCAGAAGAAAAGGGGTGGGGGAGGTAGAAGAGAGTATAGGGGGGATAAATGGTGATGGAAGCAGACTTGACTTGGGGTAGTGAACACACAATATAATATACAGATGATGTAGAATTGTACACCTAAAACCTATATAATTTTATTAACTAATGTCACCTCAATAAATACAATAAAAGTGAAAATAATATACATATTAAGTATATGTTATATGGAACCTTACATATTTACATATAAAATATATGCATAACGGTATACTTAACTCATTGTCTGGGTGTCATTTGCATAATTTTAGTGTGTTATGATAGTGCCAGATGAAGATACAAGAGGAAGAATGTGAAGAGAGTACAGAATTCAATGACCCATAAAGAGATTAAAAAAGTGAATGGCAAGAGTTTTGAGGAATATTATCTACAGAAGTCAGGCAATAAAAATTGAACCTGGGAATCAACCCTATCTGAAGGGCATGGACTGGAACTCCCTTGTCATAATGGTTCTAAAAAGGACTCAGAGAAACCATCTAAGATGTTGATAAATATCACCTAAAAAAGTATCTTAGGTCCTGAGTCTCTGCCTCAAAAATCCTCTGGATAAATAACACTCAGAAAAGTTTAGAATTTAAGTAGACATATCAAGTAAATTCAAACTTAATGTGTACAAATGAATTTTGAATCATTGGTATAATTTCATGTATTTATGTTTGAAATATTAAAAGATATTTTGGTAAATTAGAAATCCTGAGAGATTATCCTTGGGCTTCAATTTAAATTGAGTTGACTGGTTTAAGACTTGTTTAAAAGTTTAAGATAATTTGACTAATTTCAAAAATATAATTGGAATATTTAAGAGAACTGAGAGTCCCCTTTAATTTATTTCTTTATAAAAGTTAAGAATTTGAGAATACCTTGCTTGTTAGGGTTATAAATATGCATTAGAGGTATTTAAAGGGGAGTAAAATATATTAAGACATAAATGCATTTTAAAATATGTAAGGGATTGTTATTCATTAAGTTGTACAGAGTCTAACTGTTAAAGGAAGATCAGATCAATTTGAGTTAATCAAACATTAATCAACAAAAATATAAAGATCTTAGTACAGTGTATAGATAAAATTAACAGATTTTAATGGCCTTAAAATGAATAAAACTGGTGTTTAATGGGTCACATTAATGGGAAATAAATTTCAATTTAAAAACTAAAGTGGTTGCATTTTACTATTCATAAAAATCTCTCGGACATCAAAAAGCCCCATACTGGCTCCTCACTTTTTAAAGCCACTCTCCATCACATGTTTACTGAATTGGTTAATCACAACCAAAGTGAATTGCTTTAGTGGTTTTCTTTTAATGAAACATAATTTACAGAAAATTCTCTAAGAATTGCTAAAAAACACTATTTGCTAGCAAAGAGAGACAGTAAATCAATGAGATAAGATATTCATAGGCATGACCAACATGTATGAGAAATAAAATTTTGAAAATATAAAAGCAGGAGAGTTTATGTGTGTGTATATATATATATGTGTGTGTGTGTGTGTGTGTGTGTGTGTGTGTGTATATATATATATATATATATTTAATCCTCACCTGAGGACATCTTTCCATATTTTGTTTAGATAGAGTGGGATGGAGAAAGAGAGAGAAACATCGATATGATCGATATGAAAGGGACACATTGAGTGGTTGCCACTCACACGACCCAACCAGGGCGGGGGACAAACTGCAATCGAGGTACATGCCCTTAGTGGGAACTGAACCTGGGTGTCTGGACTGCAGGCAGATGCTCTAACCGCTGAGCCAAACCGGCCAGGGCAGAAAAAGAATTTTTTTAAATGATTAATTAAATGCATTTATAAGCTCCAAAGAAGTAATACATGAACCTAAAAAATTCTAGAACATGCCTCTCTCTCTCATAAGTACAAAGACTGTAGGAATTATTTCTCTGAGTTGCATAAATAGGTTATAAAAATGAATAAAATAATAGGAAAAAACCTGGATTTACCTTCTCTGAACCACTTCAAAGAATAAAGACTCATTATTAAATGATTTAGCAACATATCCCAGAACTTTCAAGTTCATGTCCTCTCATAAATCCATTTGATGCTAAAAATGTGACTATTCTATGTATCTCTTCTACTGGACCCTTAACTGAACCTGCGTCTTCCTTGTAGTCTTTTAATTGTTTCATCAACTTTTTGGTGGTATAATTTACATTCAATAAGTAGCATTGTTTGATAAGTTTTGATAAACGTATACCCCTGTAAGCACCACCATAATCCAAATCTAGAACATTTCCAACATACCCCAAATTTCTCTCCTTTCCCATTGCAAACAATACCCGCTCCACTCCTAGGGTCTTTTCTCGAGTTTCATATAACTGGAATCATAGAATGTGAGCTCTTTCGTGTCTGGCTTCTTTTGCTTAGGGCAATGTTTTTTTAAATATATCTGTTTTTGTGTATCAGTGGCTCATTTCTTTTCATCAATGAGTGGTATTCCATTGTCTGCATGTACTTTGGTTTATCCATTCACCAGCTGATGGACATTGGGGTGTTTTCAGTTTTTTAATATTATGATAAAGATGCTCTGAACTTTCACATAGAAGAAGTCTTTGTGTGAAAATAGGTGGCCAGCTTTGGTAAATAAATACCTAGAAGTGGAACTGCTGGGTCACAGAGTAGGTATATGCTTAACTTTATAAAGTGCCAAAATGTTTTTCAGTTGGCTGTACCATTTTACATTCCCACCAGCAGAGTATGAAAGGTCCAGTTGTTCCATCTCCTTTCAAACAGGTGCTATTTTCAGTCTTTTATTTATAGCCATTTTAACGGGCTTTAAATGGCAACTCATTTTTTTATTTTGTATTAAATGCTTTTAATTTGCATTTGCCTGATGACTGGCAATGCTGAACATTTTTTCTGTGTGCTGGTTGGTAATTCACATCTTATTTTGTGAAACGTCCATTCAAATCTATTGCACATTTTTGGGGGTTGTCTTATTAAGTTGTAAGCACTGTTTATATACTTTGGATACAGTCCTTTGTCAGATATGTATATTATGAACATTTTCTGCTTTCCTATGGTTTGCCTTTTCATTTTCTTACTGGTATTTTTCAAAGTTTTTACTTTTGACAAAGTCAAATTTATCAAGTTCCTTGAAGTTTTTTTGGAAATGAGTGTAGCTGCTGCTTTGGCCAATTATTGATGTATTTGGATTGCAGGTTTGATCCCCAGCCCTGGTCAGGGCTGTGGGTGAGGCAACCAATTGATGTATCTCTCTCACATCGATGTTTCTCTCTCTCTTCCTCCCTTCCACTCTGTCTAAAAAATCAATGGAAAAATGTCCTTGGGTGAGGATTAACAACAACAACAACAACAACAACAACAAAAAGGCCTCAACAGGGTGAAAAGGAGGACCATCTGTTAAAAAAATTAATAAACATTTTAAAAAATCAATGGAAAAAATATCCTCAGGTGAGGATTAATAAAAAAGTTAAAAAGCCCTGGCTAGTTTGGCTCAGCAGTTAGAGCGTTGGCCTGCGGTCCAGAGAGACCGGGGTTTGGTTCCCACTAAGGGCATGTACCTCGGTTGCAGTTTGTCCTCGGCCCTGGTTGGGTCGTGCAGGTGGTGACCATTTGATGTGTCCCTTTCACATCGATGTTTCTCTCTCTCTCTCTCTCTCTCTCTCTCTCTCTCTCTCTCTCTCTCTCTCTCTCTCCCCCTCCCACTCTATCTGAACAAAATATAGAAAAGAATGTCCTTGGGTGAGGATAAAAAAAGTAAAAAAAAAGGGACTCTGATGATTACTT